AAAGTTTACCTTGCCTGGATGGGCAGCTCTCTGGGTGCTCAGCACCCCCAAAGCTCTGATCCTAGAATCGCCCCTGAATTAAAGGCTGTTGCCTGTTTTTAATTCAAGTGTTGGTGTGTCTGTTTTAGGACGCTGTGGACGTTAGATGGATAGACTAAACCCACACTCTTTCAACAGAGACACAGATACACAATCTTTACTACCTCATACAACAAAACATGTGTTTAAGTTTCCAAGAAATCAAATATAAACTGAAAGGACCTATTTTGGAAGCCCCAAACCCACCATCAAGAATAATCTCTGCACTTTCAGTCTCTAGAAGGGAAACCAGATCTTTTGAGCTTCAACCCAATGTCTATCCTGGAGCATGTTTCTGGATATAAAAGCTTCTCTCTGTGCTCTTTTCTCTTCTTTTTTAATTGAACTTCAAAATTCAGTGATCCACCAAAGGGTTGAAACTACAACTGAGCCCCTTTCCAGCAGATGCATAAGCATTTTATCTACCAAAGGGCTGTACCACCATGTTCTTGACTCCAAATCAGAAACTTACCACCAAGACACTTCTCACTGTGGTCTTGTTGATCTTCACTTTTACTGACCTTTAAAAATCTAACCATTCTCAGAAGAACCAATTCCACAACCTCCATGGTTCAAAGCAGACTTTTACAAGCCAAGTGAATCTGACCACACACCCAGACTTCCCCTTAAAGAGCTTAGCAACAGTTAACATTTACTTTAGTTGTTTCATAATGAACCACTGAGCCTCGTAAGAGCTTGAGCCGAGCAGGTTGAGGAGTTGAGACTCGCTCAAGCCACCAGAGCTGTTTCACGAGGAGTTTATAAATCATTTTCCTAAAGTTCTTCATCTGAACGATGGAATTTGGTCTTTGAAAGTCAACCTACCAACCAACTGTTCACCAGTCCAGGCTTTATTTTCTTAGAATGTTTCAGATAAGAATTTCTTGGGTCATTCAAGTTAAAATTCCAGACTAACAAAAAGAACCTGAATAAAGATCCCATTATTGTCTATTTTCAGTTTAGGTCTCGAGCATTTGGTTCTTTGCCGTGTTCCTTAGTGTTGGTAAGTCCTTCAACTGGGTGTAAGATCATAAAAATTATTATAGGAGTAAACCCACTGTCAGTATCACCCTGCACTGTAGTGGTCTTGATCCATTACTCCATGGCATCAGCCTCAGAAATCTGATGAGAAGCTCTCTCTGAAAGCTTGTCAGACTTTTCCTCAGAATGATGGGTTTTGAAAATGTAGGAGACACCTCAAAAATTCTAAACTTGTTAGATCCTTCCATCCAAAGTGAGACTTTTAAACCCAGAGGTTAAGAGTTCTTTTGCTGTCATACCTTAATTTTTTTTCTTTCAAAGTTTTAGACTCTGGATCTTTGAGAAAACCCGAACCTTCTAAAAACCTGGGACATTGGGCGCTTTTTTAATGCTCTCCTTTGGGGTTTATGGTCAGCGCTGAAGTGTTTCAGGATCTTTATGGACTGGGTTTAGTGTACTTCTTTGAAAAAAAATGTCAGTGAACACAGGTGATCATTTTAAATCCAATCAAAATACAGAGAAGTATTTAAGTAATTGTTCTGGTGACTTCTGTTGATCACACTGCTGCCCTGTTACAAGATAACTGCCCTCTAGTGGTTACTATCAGGAACTACAACTCTGCATGTACATGATCATTTAAAAAAACTTCAGGCTTTATTTGCAAATACTGACATCAACAGTGAAACTGAGTGGAGCCTATTGCTGCTGACCCAAAGTCTGACTAATTAATGATAATTCTACAAGCTGTAACGGACGTACTCTCTCTGGTTATTTTATTAGGTACACCTACTACTGTGTGTGTTTAAGTGATGCTCAGCTCAGTCCAAAGAAAATGTCCCCTAGATCATTACACCACCAGCAGCTTGAAGCAGTCTGGCCATTATCTGACATCAACAGGGATCTGCTGCTCACTGGACATTTTCTGTTTTCCACCTGGACAGTGTTTACATTGCAATCTGCCTTTGTGACAGTCATTAGCACCCTCACTAACACACAAAACAACGACTACATAACACACTAAATGTCACAAATCTCTCGCTCTCTCTACCTTTCTCTCCAATTCGCTTGCTCTGTCTCGCTGCCGTCACTCTCAAAACTTTCCCCTCTTCCTAAACAACCAAATCCCACATGTTGCCATTTTTTTTTTTACAAAATTGGTTGACAGGGTACATTTTTCCACCAACAGGAAAGAGGTGACTTTTTTTGTCTTTACACTTTTCAGACTGTCCTTAGAAAATGCTTTCTTCTTCTTCTTTCGTTCCTTCTTTCTAGTATATAGAAAAAGGCATCACTTACATATATATATACATATACATATATATACATATACATATATATACATTTTTTTTTTTTCTTCATAATTCTGGATTTAGTGGCCCATCATGAAAATTTCAAAACTGGTGTACACTTTGAAGTCTGAACTCTCAACACGAGCTGAAATAGAGACAGCGTGGCTGCAGCTTGTTTTTATGTCAGCTTAAATCAGTCATGTGATTTGGAGGTGCGCACACAGAGGGTTAATAACACTCACCTTCATTCCATTTCCAGACTGTAACAACCAAGCACCTGTGTGAAATCTTAAATGCCCATTGTGCTCTGGCACAATCATAGGCATCGGTTGCTACTGAAAACAAGAAATAACACCATGAGCTGAACCTGTTAATGGTGGCGAGGTGTGTGTGTCTGTGTGTGTGTGTGTGTGTGTGTGTGTCTGTGTGTGTCTGTGTGTTAGTCCCCGTATGGAAATTATTCCTCTGCATTTAACCCATTCACCCATTGAAGCAGTAGGCAGCCACCAATGCAGCGCCCGGGGAGCAGTGTGTAGGGACGGTGCCTTACTCAGGGGTACCTCAATGTAGCCGTTCAGTGGAGTCAAACCCCCGCCGGGGCCATTAAAATATTATACCACTAGGTGGCAGCGTTGACCATTTCCACAATTTAAGTGATGCTGAAGAAGTCTGTTCCACTTTGCATGAGTGAAACACTGTAACAAACAAAAACAGCTTTAATTTAGAATATTTTATTAAAATGCTCACTCATTCGATCTATCACAGTAACAAAAGAGTCAGGGTTTTGTGAAATGTGCCGTGGTCAAATATTACAAACAGACGGTGCTACATTAGGCTGCGTGTTAACTGTGAAACATCCCCAGAGTGTTTTACTAACAGCCGTTTACTCACTTTAAATCCATAAAATCAAATACAGATATATTAAAAAAAAAAAAAAAAAGTGCAAATGTTAGTAAACAGAACAAAAAAAAACAAAAACAAAGTTGAGAGATTTTATACAAAAGTGCAACAAGAACCGTTTCCCCTCATCGGTCAGACAGTTTTAAAGTGTTAATATGCACAAAACTCGTGTAAACATTCAGATATTTTGGTCAAGAGTCACATTTAAAATCAAATATCGGATCAATTAATATATATGTATGCACACTTAATAGTTAGATTTGTACACGAATACGTCATTTATTACGTTTATTGTAAAAACTGGAGTAATTGTACCCAAATGCACAGGGACTGATTAAACTTTAGCAGCATCGTGGGCGCTCGTTGCCACAGGGAAAAATCTCCTGATTAGTCAAAATTATTTATTTATTCAAAATAAATGTGATATAAACAAACACACACAGCATCACGAGGCTCATAAAAAAAACAAACAAACTGGCAGCCCTCTTCCGCGGGTTAGTATTACTGGTACCCATCAGCCAGCGGTTTATTGCACAAGAGCAGCAGGGAACAGCGCCCCCTTGGCACAGACCACACTCGTCGATTGTGAAGCAGTCAGTGAATTCAAGGGCTGACGTGCAAACGCAGATTAAGAAAACCCGACTTCCCCGAAGAAATTCTGCATAGACTCTGAGAGATCGGTTCACAAAGACCCTCGGCCGACCGTTCTATGCAGGATCTCAGATTTAAGGTCATCAACAGTCACTTTTTTTGGTCAGAAACCTTTCAGCATCTCCACGGGAAAAAAAAACAAAACAAAACTTGAAGCTGAAGTGCAGCGAGTCGCCCCAACCAGCGGGGTGTCGCTGCCACTACTGCGCCGCTGCAAACGCCACGTCCATCAGTAGCAGCCGTCTCGCCAGGTGCTGTCGCGGAGGGCACTGAAGGTGGACAAGCTCTTTGGAGGAGTCAGTAAACTGAGGGAACAGGAGGACAACTAAAGTCAGAGGACAGACAAAGACATGATGTTCCACAACAGCTAAATCTAACAGACATTCGCTGGAGTCACACGTCTCAGGAACCCCACCAGTGCGGTGTGGATGACGAGTAACACTCGGTGCTTTGTAGAGCCTCATTTCAAACTTTTAGTGCGAGTCCAAATGAATCTAATACTATGTGCTCCAGGGAGAGTGCAGAAACATCGGTGTTTGATGAGAGTTGTTGCTTCAAATGAGCAAATTACACAATACTCTTTAGTTTTAAAAAGTAATCCATTATTTTACATATTTACTGACTGTAGTCCAATAAGGTAGGTTTGTGTTACTTCAGATTGCACAAGCAATCTGACACACACACACACCTTTTTAAAGTTTACCTTCGTGCTGGTTGGGCCACCTTGCTGCGGGGGGTGGAGCTTGTGGTACCAACAAAGGAGGCAGGGCGGGGCAGGCTGCTGCGTGCAGTGTTTGAGGTGGTGGGTGTCCCTGCAGGTTTACTAAGCAAAGGGATCCCGCTGTTGGCCCCACCACCCCCACTGCTGTTCAGATTAAGAGACTGGAGACTGATGGAGGTGGACAAGGAGGCGGAGCCCTTGATAGTGGGACTGACGTAGGCGGTGGCCTTCAGAGGTGGCCGTGACAATGAGGTGAAGTTCCCGACACTCTGGACTCTGTTTTGGAGTTGGCCTGGAGAGGGGACTGAAGACGAGAGGAGACAAACTGAAGTTAGTAAACTTACTTGGCTGGCGGCGCCTTCAAGGCGAATGAATTTTTGGGTGAGCTGTCCCTTTAATTAGAGAAGAGAAGCAGCGTCTTACTGGAGGACTGCAGTCGAGCCAGTCCGCTGGACGAATCAAAGCTCTGGCTGTTACGAAGCAAAGAAGGGGAAGCACTGGGATTGGCTGGTATGGGCACACTGGGCATGCTGGGAGCTCTGACAAGGTTAGGCATGCTCCTCCGCAGCTTATCTAACACAGACAAAAACAGCCAACAGATTTAAGGCGTCCAGAGCTGCGCCAGGCCAGATTAATAAAGTTATCTGCAGAGTCTGCAAACAGAGAGGCTTCCAAACAAAACACAGAGACAAATAGAAACCTTCAGATGCTGAACTATTTTTAAAGATGCCTCAAAGCAGCCTCTGATCTTCTTTATACTGCTAACAGTTTCCAGCCTCCCACAGTCAGATATACACTCCTAACTTGTAATCCCATCAAACTCTCGGAGTCTCCGCCTCAAAATGGAAACACATGCCAGCCCGAGAGCTTTAAGAGCAGTTGTACAAGAGGATTAGAAAGAGTTTATGAAGCAGGTAGAGCGTCAGCAAGGCCAGGACCGGGACACCGTCACAGTGTTAAAGGGGCGAGGTTCACAATTAGAAGAAAAAAAACCAAAACACTCAAATTAATGTTCAGAGATGACGTATGAGGTTAGATATACTGAACCGTGTTATTGACTTACTCTCATATTCGGCTGGAGGCCATGATGAAGTTTTCCCCCCAAAACAACATGTCCAACGTCATACACGTACACAGCAATACACACAAATATCACACGCACAAAACATAAACACAGAGATAATTTATATTAGTACTCTTCAAAGCATTAATAGGTACTGATTCTATCAAAAGATCATCAGTAGTTTTAATCCATGTCTGCTGATGGATGGACATACCTTCTAGTGCCAGATTCTTAAAATCAGGCTTTGGTTCATCCTCATTAAAGGACTACACTCTGAGATTAAAGGTACAGTCAGGCTTTCAGCTTATTTAATAGACAAAAAAAAAAAAAGAAAAGAAAAAGAGGTGATATACTCATAAATTTGGTGTAGCGCGTGTGTATATATACATATATCTCTATCTATATATAATAATAACAATAATAATAATAATATGTGTGTTTGTGTGTGTGTGTGTGAGTGAGAGAGAGATTTGTACATGTATATTCTCATAGACATTCATTTCTGATATTGTTTTAAGCTAATGTTAGGCTCGAGTGTCCTTAAAAGTCACTTACAATTTGATTACATTCTCACATCGTATTAGAGTTTATTTTAAGTGTCTGAGTGTCTCTCAGGGAGCAGAAGACCAGAAGAATGAGCTGAAAGGGAATCTGTTCCTTGATAATTCCGCACAACAGCCTTGTTTCTTTATTTAGATCAACTTTTCCCCCTTCCCTCACCTGATCCTGGTCTGAAGCACTGCTGCTCGGCTGCGCAGGTGCTGCCCACTCCCAGCCCCAGCCCCAGCCCAAGACCCTGAGACTGGGCTTGGAGCGCAGGTTGAACGGCGAACCCAGCGGAAGGGTACGGGGGGGTGGAGGGGGTGGAAGGAGGGGTGCACAGGGAACTGGTGCTTCTTCGCCAGTCTCGGATGCTGGAGAAAGTGTGGGAGTGGGGCAGGCGGGTGAGGCGTGGCTGTGGCGGTGGCAGGAGACCGTAGTCTTCGTCGTCCTCCTCGTCTTCCTCCTCCAGGTCGGGACCGGCGCTGAGCTGGCTGAGCTGGAAGGTCAAGCTCTGGCTGCGGCGGTTGGCCAGGACGGATGAGGTGCTGGCGAGGTCCTGCCTTAGACCTGGGGGAGCGAGATATGAGGACCAGCGTGCAAAACACCCACCACACACACACACACACACACACACACACACACAGAGTCATCACCTCCTGGGTGCAAAACACCCACCACACACACACACACACACACACACACACACACAGAGTCATCACCTCCTGGGGTTAATGAAGCTGAAGTAGCGATGGGCTCTGAGATCTGGTGCCATATGTTAAATTATTAGGGGGGGGGGAACAGTAGGGACAGACAGACGGACAGCAGGAGAAGTGAGTTGGCTCAAATGACACAGATAGCCATAAAAAAGTGACCGAACAGCCAGAATGATTTCCGCTGTCCTGAAATCATTTCAGAAACATCTCTCGCTGTATAAAGATTCAGGTTTATAGTGCATTTTAAGCAAACAACTAACCAACAGTCTACAACTCAAATCAAAAATCAGGAAGTGCAGTCAGGGTGCAGACAGAGGTCCTGCTACTTACTCTCCTCCTGCAGCCGGGCCATAACCTGGACATCAGTGAGGTCCTGCAGCTTGTATCCCAGAGCAATGGAGTCATCCTCTGCCTCAGATGCTCCCAGGTCGCTGTCCATGGACGATTGCGGGCTGAGGGTGGAGCGCCGCAGG